GCCAGAGTCTGACCTAAAACCAGAGTCAGACCCAGAGCCAGAGGACAATGAAGATGAGGAAATTGTAGATGGTAAGTCCAGACCTTCATCGGAACGAGATCTGCAGCTCTCACTGGAGCGGTTCGCGGCCGAGTGCGAAGCGGCCGGGATGAGGCTCAGTGCCTCCAAATCCGAGGCCATGGTCTTGAGCCGGAAAAGGGCAGAGTGCCTTCTCCGGGTCAGTGGGGTCGCCCTGTCTCAAGTGGAGGAGTTTAAGTATCTGGGGATCTTGTTCACGAGTATCCCTGAAATATCGTATCCCTGCTATCAAAACCACAAAAATGAACGGGGTTGAGTGGAACACTCTGGGATCAGGAGAAAAACAATATGTACCTTTTAAAAGAATCCCAAATCCCAAATAGTGACTGAGTTTTTAGACGCACACGCCGTAACATGGAGGTGTCTTATTGCCCTGAACTGCCTGTGACACACCAGGGTGCTACTTGGTTGAAGTATTACTTCTCTGTAATGAAGTCTAGGTTGACTTTCCAACAGCTTTAATAACAAAATTGCTCAGAAAACAAAATATAACAAATGCTTCTTCATATATGGAAACACTTTGCAGCAAGACAAAATACACTATAATACTTAAAAAATCCCAACACAGTATGTGTTTTATAACTAATAACAGGAAGACAGCTGTAAAATCACAAAACATTTCTAAATATGAACAGAAAATATCTATAAAAAGTTTAAGTATAGGATTTATTTTTAGTCACTGTCATCTGTCAAACTGTCAAAAATGACCATTGTTTAAAAAAAGAACAATTTTGCAGCTGAAAGTTTTCAGTCAAGTTTTCAGCTTTTTCTTCTTTGACAGGCTGACATCTAGTCAAGTTCCTTTTATTAATGTGAACAGACAGAAATCTGTTTAAAACTGATATAATGATCAAACACCTGACAGTTATAATGAACAACAAGATAAGAATTAAATTTATTAGGAGCAGATCTGATCATTCAACTTATTACCCTTTGAATTGATAGGTCTCTTATTAGAATAAAGTAACAATAAATTTACATAAATTCATATTAATTTAACCAAAATAAGACAGGGAGTCAGAGACGAGGCTGAACGAGCTGCAGACAGGTCGTTTTTTCCAAGTTACATTGTGGTGTGTGAGCACCATTATCACCATGATCAAAGACTGGAAAATTCAACTCATAACTGGGAAACAAGCGCAAATGCAATTTCTGCATCTTCAGTGATGGGCTTTGATCTTTCTTCTGAGGTCTGACAAACCACCCACTCGTGCAACGTGGTCTAAAAACGTAACCCAGCTGGCTTTGGTGCACCTGTTAGCGAGTGTGTGACGGTCTCTCCAAACCAACCAGTCCAAATGTTTCTGACATCAATACAGGACAGGGGTCAGCCTGAGCTGCACAAAATCAAAAGCTGCTTTTCTGTAAATTATTTACTCCTGGCTGGCTTTCAGACTACCTATGTAATGCTTTTTAGGTTTGACACAGGAAACTGACAACTCTGTAAAATAACTTGATAAATTCTATGTACACAGACATTCAAAGAGCCTATTTTTGGAGTCTATTTATCTCTGAGGGTCTCAGTGTTACTGCAGCATAGCTTTATGCTTATTAAATATAGCCTTAATAATCACATGTGAATATCTGCTAAGCAACAACACAATGCCATTAGCTTACATAATAAAACAAAACACACTGTGAGCTTAAGAAGGGGTTTATGATCCACTATGAAGCGAGGCCACTGAGCCAGCAGCAGCAGCGGTGATGATGATGATGTAACGTTAGCCCGGCTCTTCAGTAAAACCAGGATCTTCAAACCTATAAGGCTCAGTTGTTTTAGTTATGAATGATGCTTCGAGCTGCTCTCCACAGCTGGTGTCATTTCATGTCAGCGCACTGACAAAGCCTCCACAAACGTTAGCTAAACATCTGCAGAATGTCTGAAGGACGTTTCTTAATATATCAATTTATGTTCCAGAAATATTAGCATCCAAAGAGCAAGTTCGTTCTCTCTGGGGTTCTGCTTTCGTTTAATTAGAGTCAAATCTTGGTTGAGTTTCAAGTGAAAGTTCAAGAGCCATTTAAAGATAAACACCAGATACTTTGAGTGCGTTCACCTTCGACCAGAGTCACCCTAATTTAATGATTGACACCAGGCATTATTGACAAAGTTCAACTAGTTTACAGTGTCGTTTAGAACCGATTCAATTATCTGATATCTACAAAGTACCTCTGTTCTCTGTGACTCCAGTGAAGGTGACACCAGATCCTTCAGGAACGATCTTTAACTAAAGTTCAACTTTCTGCCTGCCGAGTGTCGAGCTGCGAGGAATCCCCAACACACATCCGACACGTCTTCTCTCCGAGCCGAACTAAAAGTAACATTTTTTGTTTGAAAATATGGTTTGAAAGCTGAATGACTGCCGAGATGAGTTAAAGAAGCTGAAATTGAGTTTATGAAGGTAAAAGCTGAATAACTGTGGCTAAAGGTAGCAGAATACTTTATCATAATAGAAAAAATAGAATAGCAAAAAGCTAAAAGCAAGAATAACAAAATGTAGCTAAAGGTAGTAAAGGGCTGACTAAAAGCAGTGCAAAGTTAGCTAAAAAAGCAAAATGCTAGCAAAAAGCTGCAAAAGACTAGCTAAAACCAGTGAAAAGTTATCGAAAACAGCAAAAAGCTGGCTAAAAGTAGCGAAAGGTTAGCTAACACAAAAAAAGGCTAGATGAAAACTATAAGAGCATCAACATAGCAAAAAGCTAAAAGTAGAAAAGTACTAGCCAAGCATATCAATGGCAAGCTAAAATGACCAAATGGCTAATTAAAAGCTAAAAGTGGTATAACGCTAGCTAAAAGCTAAAATATCAAAAAGCTAATTACCAAAGTATTACCAAGAGTCACAAAGGGCTAGTTAAAAGTACCAAACAGCTAACTAAAAGCAAAAAGTGGCTAAATGTTAGCTAAGAGTATTGAAAGGCTAGCTAAAGTAACAAAAGGTGAACTACAAGCTAAAAATTGCAAAATGTTAATAAAAGCTTAATTAAAATGTAAATCTTCATGGATAATATTTAGGACTGTTCTAAATTTCACCATACTGCAACTCTGAATGAAAACACATATTGCTTAATGCAAAACTGGTTTTCTATACACTGAAAGCATTGAATAATTGATCATTGAGCCTTGTAGCTCCCCACGTTCACCACTTAGCGATCTGTAAGCATTTAGCTCACAGCTCTGTGCAACCAAACACCTCTATGGCCAGTGTCACGTCAAGATATTCAACCAGACTGAGAGGAACCAACAAACACCATATTGTGCTGTCTGATCGTGTGTCAGCTGAGTGTGTTTGTTGTTCTATCATTGGACAGTTTTCACACAACACTTTTCCTGTCCCAGAGTCAACAAAAATCACCTTCCACTCCAGAAAACTGCTGGAATATCTGACAAAAAAAGTTACCCTTTTTTCTAATTTACGGCTAATTTTAGTGGTAATACTCCTTGTTCAGATGCACGTATTCAACAAGTAATTCAAGAATTTAAAAATATATTATAATAACTGTGAACAAACTCAATCGAAATATCTTTTACAAGGAATCTGATAACTGTGGTATATTAAATGAACTTATATGTAACAAATTACAGTCTGACATGCACTCATTGCAGTGAGAATAATACTTTTTATATTATCGCCTGCCACTGAAAGGAAAAGATAAACAATAATGTGGGCGATATGCATTTCTTCAAGGATTAATGTTTAGAAGCCGTAGTCTTAATTAACAAATGTGACACGCCAAATGAGTAGGAGCTTCCTTCCAAAGCCCACATTCAGTATATCAGACTAAAAGTAAAATAAGCTCACGTTGATCATAAAACAGCAAGCCAATGATCCTGCAGATGACTCATTAGACCCACTTTTCATCCTTTCACAGTGACACTTTCTGCATGTTGTGCACACAAGGTGACCACCTTAAAAAAGCCTCCTCTGAGCACTTGTGTAAAATCAAAACAAAATCACACTTCAGATTTAGTGGAGGATGACACATCTTTAAAGTGTTTTTGCTTGCATGTGATTTCGTGTCTGCTGCAAAGTCAAATGTTCATTTCATTCCTTTTTAAAGAAATGTAATGTAATAGTAATAGTTGTTTTTCTTATTTTACCACAGTAAAAGTACAAACGTGCTTGCAAAATGAGACATAATGAACGTTCTGAAATTTTTTATTTAATTTTCCACGTCAAAAGCTTTGAAGAAAATATATAGTGTTGAAATCTGGCTTGTTATCGCCTGGCAACAAGCTAGTTTTGTTTACTAGGAATTCCCGCTCTGTATTTGAAAAGGGGAATCCCCGAGCTTTGCAATGATGTCAAACAGAGAAAAACGGCCAGAAAACTTTGATTTAAGTTTGGAAGCTGAAATGCTATGTTAGTTACTGGGCTCGCTGCACCTCGTCTTTTTAAACTCATCTTTATACAAATCTTAATCTATATTTTAACGCCTTTCGCACTGCAGCCTGTGCTCGTTCCAACACGTTCTGCCAACACAGGTCACATGGTTGAGAAGAAAGGAAACAGTGTCATGGAAATCCCATCTATAGAAACATGTCGCCTTGATTATTTGGTAATAAGAGTGGAAACATTAAAAAGCGGAGTCACTTAAGATTCAAAAAGGGCTTTCTTCTGCCGTCTCATTTATATTCAACCATCTGTTCTTCCTGTGCTAGTGACTTATTTCTGCGTGCCTGTATTTTTCAGAAATTCTCACCTACAGTGTGCCTTGAAAGTAAAACCATGAAGCTCAAATTGGTTTAAGCTGTCAAAGCGGCATGCAACGACTGAAAGGCACAGAGACGGTGAGCATCCTACCTGTATAACCTGCCATCCAGCCCCATGAAGACACCATAGCCAGCAGCCACTTGAACATGACCCCTTCGATGTGCCAGAAGGCGGAGCTGTCCCATATTCTGAGTGGCTGGAGCAGCAGCAGGTATAAGCAGTAGGACGGGATGGCGACACAGTTGTTGAAGAACATAAAGGTGAAACGGAGCACCGACTTGAGGAGAACCCAGCCCAGTTTGCCGGCACCGTCCAACAGCTGTGCCATCCTGAATCACGCCGTCTGGGGGACACACGGCAGCAGTTAGTGTCTCGTCTTGTTTGACAAACTGTGTTCTAATTTACAACGTTATGCACAGAAGATCAGATACTAACAAAAACAGAATACAGGAAGCTGTTCGCTACCAAAATTAGGCTAAAACCAGATCGCTGGTCAATAAATCTGGTTCTGAAATATTCCAGATTCACATTTCAGCCTCCTGTGAATCTCCCACAGATTTCAATTAAAGTTCTAATGATCTCCATTTCTATTTAAAGACATTTACAGACTATATTAATAACTTAATGAACTCAAATGTAGTCTCCGAAGGAACCATATATATATTTATATATGGCTTCTATTAAATTTTGCAGCTACCATTTATGTTTTAGGCTAAGGCTACTTAACAGCATTTAACATGCAATACATGCACACAGAGGACGTTTTGCTCCGATGATTATTATTCAACAGACTTTATGAATACGATTAATTGTAAATGGTACCTGGCTCCCATCCAAAGCATGCGAAGACATGTCCTTAAATGGACTGTTCATTGGCTGTCACATCACCAGTGCTGTTTAGGTTATCCACAATCAACACATCACATCTTAAATAATATTTTTACATAAACAAATTCCCCATTCATGTGTGTCAAACCTTCAGCTCCACTTATCCAGAAATATAATCTTTTCATCTAGAACTAGCATAGCAGATGACATTGTTACTAAACATAAGTTTTATTATAAATAACTATAAACAATTTAAAAATAACTTTACCACATGTGGCATAAATGTGAACATTAAGTTAATAAATGAACAAACATTTAAATAAAACACTAACTAGTAAGACTTATTCCCATCCCTATTACAACTCGATATATTCACATAAAAACAACCACGAAAACAATGTAATAACATTGTTTTAACAATTCGTTTGGATATTTCTTAGGAACATGGTTGAGTATTATTTTAAACAGGACATAAAAAAATCAGTACTACCAACACCTAATCATCTTTACTTGCATATACATTGATTTTTAGAGATATCTTTAATTTCAGTTTTGACTACAAAAATCACATTTTGACTACAATGTTAGTACAGTCTTATAAAATAGTAATTAACAATAGACATAGGATATTTTTGCCTATTTGTGAATGTTGTTTAAGTAAATTGCTGTTTTACTTTTTTAACCTATACTACTTATTTTATACTAATCTGAGAGGCGTTTTTAGTACAATTTATAAATTTTTCATCTTTGAATGCAGTGTGATGTATTGTATGTAACAACGGCTTGCCGTATTCCAGTTCTGTATAATGCTAGCTAGCAGCGGGGTGAGTTAGCATAACGGGAAAACAGAGAGAACCAAATACGTCAGAACCTACAACCCGTGGGTCCCAACGTTACCGTGAAATAATGACATACACACCAGAGGCAGCTCAAAGGTTTTTACTGCTCTGGTCGTTTTTTAAGAGTCGCTACAAAACGTATATCTCTGGCAATGGATGTGTGTCTGGTGCAAAGCGCAGCGGTGGCGCCTCATCCAGAGAGTGTAGTCCCACCCTGTAGTTTAGTAGTAAAAGTCTAATAGCTCGTGTTACTCACCCAATTAATGTCACTGAAGCATCCAAGGACGGCCTGAGGTTAAAACTAATAGTTACAGCCAGATATATGATTGAACCAACCTAAAAGAAAATCAGCAATTTTTTCTAGTCGGCATGTTAAATGTGTTAAATCTGATCCCGACCGAGGTGATGGTGTTTAAAAAAAATCCTGCGCGATATAACCGCTTTTCCATTTAGCTATCCAGGTCCTAGCTGGCTAGTAAGCAGCTCCACTTGAACGTCGCTGGCTCCATCTCAGTGAAAGGCACCGGGATAAATCCTCAGATACATCATCATCACCATCACATCATCGTCGCCGTCAGCTCAGATAGCTAACTGAGCTTCCATCCAGCAGTCAAGAGGACGACGGAGTGGCGGTTCGGGAGGGCCTCTGGTCAACGCTGCTCGTCGGACAACCGCAACACAACGCATACATGTGCGCATCGAACAGGAGGAACGGCGGTTTTTCTTTTCTTGCCTCGTAGGATCCGTTATCTTCCTCAAGATCCCCCGATTCACACCGCGGCAAGATCCACAAAGGAACGGCAGCATCAAAACGGAAGTGAGTTGAGTTTGCTTTCAAAATAAAAGCCTAAAAGTGTAATGAAAAGGTTTTTCACACGACGCACATCTTTCACTCTGGATAGATTATTTTATTACAAAAATACATAGTTATTATAACAATACTAACACGTAAAATATAAAGATGTTTACAACGCAAGAAAACCATATCCTGCTAAATTTACATATAACACGAATTTTTTTTGTACCAAAATTAGACGTAATACTCCATAGCAGTTAAAAAGTACACTTTTACACCAATAATATAGTTTCTTAAATATTTAATTCCTCCCGAATTTTCTTAATATACATTTACATAACTTATTCCTGTATTAAACATTATTGGATTCATTTATTGGTAAAATTTACCTTAAACAACTCAACTAAAATTATTTGACATTGATTTTTTTTTCGTAAATTAATATTTTTTAATCAAATTGAGCAGAATTCAATTGTATTTTTATTTTGAAAATCACAAAGCGGAACTGAAATTTTCGTTCTTTCCACTGACGCTCGGTTTGAAGCCAGTTATGGTGTCGAAGCGCGCAGACTCCCTGATGTCAACCATGTCTGCGAAAGAAACTGCACCCCTCCCACCTCTACATTTAAATTTGTGATTAAGTCACATGACCTCGTTTTAAGTCATTCGCAGCTGTTCTTCTGATTGCATCATAACCATGGGACAACGCTGGACTTTATGATTAAAATTTAATGCATGTCTTTCAACCTAAGCCAAACAGTGTGGGCTTTTTGAAGAAATCAATGGTCGTGAAATAAAAATGGCATTTATATATTGATTTAAAGTTTAAAATCTGAGATTAAAGCTGATGGGAAGTGTAAACTTTGTTTTTAAAAAGACTTTTACTTAATTTTTTTTACTAACTGTAGCAAATTGACATAGTTACTATAGTCTGCCCCCTCGTGGCGTTTTATGTTATTACATGTTAAAAAGATCAACCAAGGACGTTCCTTATTACATTGTTATAAAGGTTACTGCACATAGAGAATATAAGCAGAATGGTAAAACCTCCTAATTTAAATGTCTATATTAGATTATTTTTATCAGTCTTCAAAATTATGTTAAGTAAAAAGCATTACTCTGATGCAAAGTATTTTAATCACTTATAAAATGAAATATAAACACATGAAACATATCACCATGAGCTCACGGTGTGAAGCAGTAAGACAGTCACTAAAACCGAGCGTACGCTCCCCTCTGTGGGGCGGGCTGAGCTCCTCCTTGCTGCAGCTGGTGGCGGAGCTGCTGGGAGTACGGGTCCTCCAGAGACTTGACGGACACCGTGGTCTTCGGTCCCGTTTTCCACTCGGTGCCGCTCTCGTCCACCACGGAAGCCTCCACCGTTACCAGGTGGGTGCCGAGGACAGAGAAGTTCAGCAGGAACTGGGTGCTGAAGTAGTCGTTGTGAGGCTCTACGCGCTGCTCGATCTCGTTAGTTTTAGCATCCGGTGGAATCTGAACATGAAGAAACATGAAGGTGAAACTAGTAGCTGTGTGAAATATAAATGTAATTAGACAGGATAGTGGCTTTTTGTTGCACTATGTTTAGATACAACCGAAGCGATGCATACTTTGTATTCAGGCCCCGTCTTGCTCTGGAGAACAGAGGTAACACTGAGGCAGACAGATTGGATCTTCCTGAAGAGTCCCGGGGTGGAACCGTGCTGCACCACCCCCTCCACCTTCAGAGTCAGCTGCTGACTGTTCTGCACTGGGATCGGCTCGCTGGGTGTTCGAGGCGACGGAGAGAGTGCAAGCTAGAAAAATACAAAACACGACAACAACAACAACAAATAAAGAAAGAAAGAAAAAGAAAGAAAGAAAGAAAAAGAAAGAAAGAAAGAAAAAGAAAGAAAGAAAAAAGGTGTAAAGAAGGGATTTACCATAACATTGTAAACATAAACAGCTGAATCAACTGACTCAGTTCTGTTTTAAACCCCACAATTAGTCAGCAGTGTTGACAGGAACATTATTTCTCATTTCCTCTCGTGTTCACATATTTAAAACAAAGAAAATTAGGTTATGTTCACATTGCAGGCAAAGTGACCCAAATCCATCCCCCCCAAATGTGACCCATATCTAAATGTTTGACAGCTGAAAACCATTTTTCCATGTCTGATCTAGGTCTTTTTTTACATGATACTAAATTGGATACATGTACGTTTGTTGAATATTCATGTGACATTTCATCCAATTCAAGCCACTTTATTGATACAAACATCACAGAGTTTAAAGCTGGGAACTACACTCGTCTTTCTAGATCTCTGATGTCATGAATGATGGGAATTAACACAACATTTGATGCTAACGGTAGTATACCATGACATTGATACTAGCATGATGGGATCGATATGTTTGTCTCTGCTTTCAGTCGCTCTCGTTTCAGAGTAAAATTCTGTACCTGAGTAACCGAGAAGCAGCAAAATCAAAATTATTTAGTCGTCTCTGATAACAAAACAACTTCAGCATTGATCCACACATGCTAACATGTAGCATCCATATTTACTGCTGTAAGCACAGCGTGCTGCGTGTCGCCATGCTGTTTACACTGAAGTCTGATGGAGGTTCTGTTTAAAGCAGGGCTGTCAAACCCATTTTCACCGAGGGCCACATGAGCGTTATGGTGGCCCTCGAAGGGCCAGTTGTAGTTAACTTTGATGTTTCATGTTTAACTTTGACTAAACAGTGTTTTAACACATCCTCTTTTAAACACTGATAAGAACTGACTGTAATCACGACTGACTATGTAAAGTTTACCATTGATATAAGAATCAATTTTCATATTAAGTTTAAAAAACAAACAAAAAAATGTTTTTCTCTTTTTTTTTTGTGTGGGGGGGGGGGGGTCACCCGTGGGCCTTGAGTTTGACACATGGTTTAAACTATAATGTATATATAATCATGCAGAAACATTACCTTGATGCTGGTCGACTGCAGCTTTTGGAAGAAATATCTTTGAAAAGACAGCGGCACTTTCAGCAAGGCTATGACAGCATCACAAAGACAACTTGTGTGCTGAAAAACAAACAAGAGGTTAGCTTACTGCTACTTGTTTATTTATTTTTTTTGTCATTTGTCACTCCCAAATGAGATATTTCGAAACTTGTTATGGCCATTAATACAAACAAAGTACATTCAATACCTGCTGAGTTTAACTAAACAAGTTCAGACAAGTAGAACCAGACTTAAGCAATGAAGATGATTCAGATGTGGTGCTCAGTGTCGGGTCTCACCAGGTGTGAAACAGGAGGGTGTTTCTTAGAAAGGCCTTCCACTTCCTCTAACACGTGGTTAAAGACTGACATCATCCGCCGCTCATATTCACTCTCTGTCTGAACAGGGCCCAGAGTGGCAAACTCCTGGAAACTACAACGTAAAAAACAGAAGGTGTTGATTTGATTTGATTTATTDATTTAACAGGAAAAGATTACTACAAATCAAGCCTGACTCAGCATAATGGCTGTTTTACAGCAGGTTCCTGTTCTGCAGCGCATAAAACACTCAGAAATACAGCATCACAATCACATCATTATACACCATAGACACAAAGACAAACAAGCATACCAAATTTCAGGAAGGCAGCATTTGCAAAATAGGACGTCTAAATATGAGCACAACAAAAACTGTCCAGCAGATGGCAGACAAGATTTTTCTTAAAGGGCTGTAGTTTTGAAATGGACTTTATGTTTTGAGGAATGTCATTCCATGCTTTAGTATAAACATAGAAGAAAGACCT